AGTGACTGGCATATGGAACTGAGAGAACAGGGTGATTAAGTGCAGCGCTGAAGATCCATGCTGTTATCAAGGAGAGAAGTTAAGTACACTTTTCATCAATGTACGAAAGGGTGAAGATTTACCAAGAACATTCTGAATACTGACTTGCGCTGGCTGGCAGTGTGTGTTGTTTCTCTCGTTGTGAGTCTCAGAGACCAAGGAAGGAACTGGGCTTTATATGATCGCTCTTGAAACCTGATACCCCCGTGTGAAAAGCCATCTGTGGATTGTCTGACCCTGCAAAGATGGAGTGAAGGCCTGTTGTTCACGGGAGGTGATGTGGCATTGCAGTGTCTGAAAGTGTGAAGTGAGCACGTGTAAAGAGTTATAGTATTGATGCATGCACGAGTGTGGGAGACCAAATCATTACCATCACTCTATAATCTTTGTTCGGGGAAGCCTAACCAGTGGGACATCAAGAATTTAATCTGATCTGTCGATTGTAAAGTTGAGTCCAGGTTCCCAACCACCTGATGCTACATTGGAGAAAGGAGAAGCTCGGCCTGGTGTGCTGGTGAGAAGAGCCGTAATTGAGTTTATGGGATCTTACTTTGTGATCATTCATTCTAAAAGAACAGGAAAAGCCCAGCCACCTCACCTGGTCTGATGATTCTTTTCCTGGAGACTGCCGCGCCCTCACCGTCTGAACTGAGAGAAGAAAGAGCTGGTTAGTAGCGGTTGGATTTCATACTCACGATTGTGTTCTGTGTGCATAGAGAGTCTGCTGACTGCTGCGTTCGATCTGCTGCCGTTCTATGAACTGAGAGATCCTGTGAACCATTATTCTGAAGGAGAGTCTGCTGACTGCTGCGTCCGATCTGCTGCCGTTCTACGAGCTGAGAGATCCTGTGAACCATTATTCTGAAGGAGAGTCTGCTGACTGCTGCGTCCGATCTGCTGCCATTCTACGAGCTGAGAGATCCTGTGAACCATTGTTCTGAAGGAGAGTCTGCTGACTGCTGCATACGATCTGCTGCCGTTCTACGAGCTGAGAGATCCTGTGAACCATTATTCTGAAGGAGAGTCTGCTGACTGCTGCGTCCGATCTGCTGCCGTTCTACGAGCTGAGAGATCCTGTGAACCATTATTCTGAAGGAGAGTCTGCTGACTGCTGTGTCCGATCTGCTGCCGTTCTACGAGCTGAGAGATCCTGTGAACCATTATTCTGAAGGAGAGTCTGCTGACTTCTGCGTCCGATCTGCTGCCGTTCTACGAGCTGAGAGATCCTGTGAACCATTATTCTGAAGGAGAGTCTGCTGACTGCTGCGTCCGATCTGCTGCCGTTCTACGAGCTGAGAGATCCTGTGAACCATTATTCTGAAGGAGAGTCTGCTGACTGCTGCGTCCGATCTGCTGCCGTTCTACGAGCTGAGAGATCCTGTGAACCATTATTCTGAAGGAGAGTCTGCTGACTGCTGCGTCCGATCTGCTGCCGTTCTATGAACTGAGAGATCCTGTGAACCATTATTCTGAAGGAGAGTCTTTTGACGGCTGTGTCCGATCTGCCGCCGTTCTACGAGCCGAGAGATCCTGTGAACCATTGCTCTGAAGGAGAGTCTGCTGACTGCTGCATCCGATCTGCTACTGTTTGAGGAACCGAGAAAGCTTGCTAACCGCTGCCCCGTAATCGGGAGGAGGATTTGCTTGCTACTGTCACCCACCTGTTGTCCTCCGGTGGACAGGAGAGATCTGGTCCTCTGAGGCGGCGTTCCGGCTCCGCCGTCCTGCAAGGAGAGTGCACGGCTGTGGCAACGTTACGAGCCAAAAACCCATTCTCTGCTGCTTGCCTTACGATGTCATCCGTCATAGACCCTCTTGACCTCCCTCTGGCCAGAGTTCCCCTTGTCGGAGGCCCATGTGGGACACCCTGGAGTGAAGTAAAGGAACCCGGAGTCATTCCGATGCTGTTTTAAGTGCTATTAATTAATAAATAAAAAGACGAGATTTTATATTACCTGTTGTCTTGTCTGATTGGTGTCTTCGGTGTCGGCTCCTCCGGAGTGTGGTTATTGACCCTTGGCCTTGGGAAACGGTTACACGATACATGCTTTGAAGCTTCAGTGTCATAAGTAACATCACTACTTCAGTGTTCTTCATACCAGCCATCCGTCTCACCCACGATATGTCTCCATACCTGTAAGAAGGACCGTTCCACTCATCGCCTGCACACCGCTCTCCATAGTATCATTGTTCATATCACTTACCTGCATTCTGTCACTGCTCATTGTTGTCAAACTCCTGTTCACTTCATATCTATCTCTTGAGTCTGCTTCCGTAACATGATGTTGATATCTTTTCCCAGATTGGGCCCTATTTTAAGGATCTAAGTGCATGGTCTAAAGCGCTCGGTGTGTCCGAATCCACTTTTGCTAGTTTAACGACAGGAAAAATGGTCTGGTGCATGGTCTAAAAGGGCTGTCCCTATTCTCTTAATGAGTCATGGGTGTGTTTTGGGTGTAACGTGCAATTCGCTCTGTGCAAGACTCTACTTCCGTTCTACTTCCGCACCCTCGAGTGTGTGGGTCAATACTTCCGGTAAGATGGCGATGTTTTACACCAGATGTCTCCAAGATCTGCCCATGTTAGTTAGCCTAATACGTTAACTAATGTAAACAAATCAAACCACATTTACTCAGAACACCTCTTAAAATGAGAATGTAAGTGTGCATTTTTTTTAGGAAGAGTGGTTAGCTATATTTAACTTTAATAAACTACAGTATTTTCTGATTATTTAGTTGACAATGTGTAGAACAATTACAAAAAAAGATCTGTACCATGTTGAAAAGAAGTCCAGTGTGTTTTGTCTAACATTGCATGAATGATGTTGAATTCCCACAGTGTCAAACAAAGATCCTGCAGGGAGGGTGACCGTCAGGGCTGTATGTTATAGGCCCATGAGGAAGCATGAGAAGCCTCACGACCTCAGAGTAGGGTGGAAAAAATGTGTTAAACCAGTTCAAAGATTTTGGGGTATTTTTGTGGCTATAGTTGGTGATGTGAATGTAGAATAACAAAAATAAAACTCTTTATTTGATTTAAACCTGAACTATACTTTCATGGATACCCCAGAAACTGGTTGTTACTGCCAGGGGCGGATCTACAGGGGGGCAAGGGGGGGCAGGTGCCCCCCCACTCTAGAGCCTTGCCCCCCCAGCTGCCCCCCTAACTTTGATGATCCAAAAACTGTACTTGTAAAAACAACCTGCCACTATGTCCACAAGCTTCGCAAAACAATGAACTAAACAATACATTTACCAAAAGTGAACAATTTAATTTTTAATTTTAAATATATTATTAGCCCCTCCCCCCTGCGTCCCTGATTCAAACGTGCAGAGCGGGCGGCGTTGGCGGCTCACACACACACAGCGAGTCTGCTGCGGTAAGGTGGCCCTGCAATCCGACTGGAGAGAGTGAGCTTCCCCAGAGCCTCTGAAGGTGAAGTGAGTTTCCCCAGGTGTAGTGTAAACACACACGTTTAATTTAAAGTTAAATTTGTAATGAATGTATTGTATACTAAAGACGATTCAGCATCAGCAAAAACAGCGCGTCTATTACATTAGCCAAAATCAGCGGTCAATTCGCTCCCTCGTGATTTGTAAGAGCACTCTTCCCTTTGATTAGCCTAATTTTGATTTTAGTAAAGACAAGAACAGCTTAAGGCGAGACACAAAAACATCGGGGTTTTTTTCACTGGTTAATTTTAAGATTTTGGGCTATTTGTCTTCAATAACATGTCTTCTTTCAGACTTGTGGTGAAAAAAATTCCAAAAAAACACATTTAGGACTTTATTTTACTACACTTTGTCTATTTGCGTCAGTAGATTTCTCCTAAATTCAACAAAAGTTGTCGTTCTAAATCAACATGCTGCTCCGCGATCGCTGCATGTCAATGTCATCGAATACATTTCCATTGGAAAGCTCTCTCTCTCCTGTACATTGTTGTCGTATCCAAATATGGTAATTTCCTTTTAATCAGCAACCAATCGTGAAAGTACAATGGGCATTTAACTCTAAAACCAAAATATCATTGGCTGATGTCAATTTCTGACAACGTGATTCGTTCAGATGCATCACGTGACGTGCTCTGACATTTAGATATGCGTTTTTGACTGTTTTTCTGTTCAGTTGAAGGCCATAAATGCTGTGATTTAGGTGGTTTGTATTGTTGTTGCTAATGATTTGATAAGATATTGTGTCTGTAAATAGTTGTTTCCACTAAAAAAAGTATGATTTTTTACATTACAAATCTTTAAATGCTGTTTTCTCAAAATTAGTTTTTTTGTCATTCTCCAGTACAAACATCTCAGCCTGTGTAGCACCTATGTACACCAAACTTTCCAGTTATACAATTAGCAGTATTCTGAAGATATTTTCAGAGGGATTTGTTAATAAATCATTCCTAAAAACCTTTGTAGTGTGTAAGGGCATGATTAAACAATAACATTAATAATTTAATAATGATTAAAAGTGTTTTTGTGTTTGTTTTGTTAAAGCAATTCACATATAGGGATTCCCATGTACCGTCTACCCCTGCCACCCTGCCAAGACCTCTTGCCACCCCTTTGCCCCCCCATGTAAAATTTTCTAGATCCGCCACTGGTTACTGCTCCCGTTCTTTGGAGCATAAGTTTAAGTAGGCCTGTTCATTATGGGTACATTAGTTCAGTGTGAGGTAAGAGTGGATTTTGTACCCTCAATCTAGGCTACTAACCTTTTCAACGCTTTACTAACACTGTTGTTCTAACTGTATTATAATGCCAAGAAAATATTTTAAGATACTAGTGAGGCTGGCTTATTTATTTTTTATTTTTATATATATATATATATAGTTGTTATCTAATGACTTAGTCTAATTGTAATACTAAAATCATGTTTTATTCATAGATTATGTTTGAGGACAGCTCACCAATTCAAATTGCATTGGCTGAGTGCTCCTGTGTGGCTGGAACCGCTCTCTGCAACCACAGTGTTACACTACTGTATCAGACAACTAAATACTCTACGTTGCAACTGAAAGCAGTACCGCCTGTCCTCAGCTGCACAGAAACTGAGCAGCAATGGTATAAACCACGAAGACTGGTAAGTATTAAGAACTTAGGCTAATCCCAAATTGGTGATAATTTTTTTTTTTTTTTTTATTGGATATAAACTCTACCCACCTTGTTTAAAACTCTCTGGGGTCGGCGGTCTCGCCGGCGATACCAGCTCACTTTTTTCCTTATCAGTGCAAAAGAGACTCAAATTACTCTGTTAATTTTGATCTTACATATAAGTGTTGTACATCATTCGATCCTGTTAAGTTTGTATTTTTTTTGTGGAACCTCATAATAAAAACAAAGTGTTGTGCTTTTCGCCTAATAAAGAAAAATAAACATGATGCGCGTTCTGCGTTCTCTCTGTCAGTGAAGTCCATTCTGAAACACGTCCGAAAAATCATCTGTAACTCTGCAAATACTCAGTCAAACAGGTATACAGGCACACAGGCATGAAGCCTGAATTATCTTCTTTTAAATGAAGTAATTTATATAAAAAAAATTTTTTCTCATTTTATGTAATCTGTACGAAAAGAGAGAGATGATAGTCGTTCTCGTCTCAGCTCATTAAAGTTAATTTGACCACGCCCACAGAGCGCGCGCTCTATTCAAACACAAATGCGATCCACGCCCACATCAGCTGGATAACCCACGAAAGAGACTCAGATTTACGACGCTGTGAGGAATAATAGTACTATCTTAATAATAATCCTGGAAAAAATTACCTCAGAAGTAGGCTACAGGTAGTTTCATTTGGAGGAGCAACGGATCCAGCCGAGGAAATAGGTACATTCTTTATTTTCAAGTGCTTTGTGCTAATCGCGATATGGAATAGTGTCTGTAAACAAAAAGACTGTTTGAATCGCGTTTTTGTGTGTGAATGAATGAACAGCTTTTACCTAACTATATTCCAATACTGAGATGAGTAAAAATCGACTGAAATATGTTGAAATAAAATATTTTTGTATAAGCAACGTATTAAACTGCCAATTAACATTTATATGTCCTAATCATAAAAACGATGTGTTACATATGAAAGACAAGATGTCGTTTTTACTGTAAAATACTGCCACATCAAATAAGCTTGTTTGCTAAGATGTTATTATAGTGTTTGTTCGATTGTAAGCTATATTCAAACTAATTAATCCGCAACTGTGAAATATGTATGATAAAATGTATACTTTAGTATATAATACAAAGAAAGATTACATTTGAAATATAGTTAAAATTTTAATTGTTGTTGTAATTGTAACCTTTTTATTAAAATAGCAAAAATATATGTAGGCTACATATAAATAAATCTTAGGTAAATCTTAAAAGCTCAATATAAGCCTCCTCTTTAAATTATTTGTATTGTGTTTTATTAGTGACACATTTGGGATATATTCCCAAACTTTCTGTAAAAACAGTATGATAATTAACTGCACAATTACTAGAAATTTTTACATTTGATATTATACAATTTGAAAGCACAATTTGAAAAATAAATAAATAATTGGAACTGTGAACCAATTTTGTATTATATAGGCATATATATATATATATATATATTGTCATTGCATTCTTGTGGCTCAGTGACACACCTGTATGAAAGGGTCATTAGTATGCAGCCCCATTATGCGCTCATTATGCGGGCCATTGTCTTCTCAGGTGTGAATCACAGCAGGTCACACCCCTGCGCATATTGCCTTTCCAAACAAAAAGTGTCATTTTTAAATTTAAACCAATCTATTGTTTTACGGAATGATAAGGCAGGATGATTTTCAGATCATTTTGAAGAAAAAACTCTAGGGGACAACATCCATTAGTCAAAAGTCTTGTGGACAGATATTTAGTATGTGTTTTGTGGCCTTATTTCAGAAACTTTAAGTTTTAGTTTTTTCAATAACCACGCATAAACAATATTCTCTCAAAAATACAAAAATGTACATACATGTTGATAACACATTATGGTAGCCCTGTGTGTGCTAAATAGAGTGTAATTACACCTTTGCCAGTAATATGTTTATAAGCAACTGAAAAAAGCACAAATGTCAGAGTATGTCAAAACATCTCAAGGACCCAAAAAACACCTTGGACCCCAGAGGGTTAAAACGCACAATGAAGACAAAACAAGCACATCATTACCACATCTATTACAGTTAGCTATGGTAGCTCTGCCAATCGCATTAAGAGGGGATTGGAGAAACTTGTGAAGTCTGTCTGGTGTATCAGTGTGGTTAGTTTGTGATGGTATGTTATGGTGGCTAACCAACTTCTGTCCTTAAGTTTAGTTTGTTTGTTTTATTTGTTTACTTGATAGGGTGTGAAACCAGGCAGAGTGGGTAACATGGTATTCATCTCAACCAAACCCAAGTCAAGACAGTACACAGCTGCTGATGGTGTAAGGTAATATTCACTGTCAAGTCGGACTGGGTGATAAGACGATATTATCGTATAGCGGCGTTGTCTCACCAGTATCGCAATGTTTCCAGACGTTAATCGTCAATATTGAAATGACATATAAAATTAAAATATTTTTTACAAATCACCCAGCCTTACTGTTGAGTAATAATGTATTCTGCAGTCATTGTCAGATTCATTTTTTTTTTTTTTTTTTTTAGTTATTGTTTCTTTTTTTCCTAATTAGTCAAGTCAAGTCAAGTCACCTTTATTTATATAGCGCTTTTTACAATACAGATTGTATCAAAGCGCTTCACAGTGATAACATGAAAACAATATAACAAAAACAATATAACAATATAACAAAGTTTGTTTCTAAAAGAAATTGCGTCAACGTCCACCTTAAGTAAGGCAGATCAATAATATTATTGAATATTAAATGTTAAATGTCCCCAACTAAGCAAGCCAAAATCCAAGGCAACAGTGGCAAGGAACCAAAACTCCATCAGGTGACAGAATGGAGAAAAAAACCTTGGGAGAAACCAGACTCAGTCGGGGGGCCAGTTCTCCTCTGGCCAACGGAAGAACAGTGCATGATTCGGGCAGCATTACAAGTCAGATTGGATCGGAACATTTAGAGTATTTTTTTGGAAGTCCAAGTATGCACGCCGGTCTTAAGACGAGTTGTTGAGGATCAGTGCCGTCCACCATAGAGAGTCCATATCGCCCGTGTTGAGTCGTCACTTCATAGGCTTTGTGGTTGGAGCATCTGAAGTCTCCGTGAGAGGCTGGATACAAACTGGAGCTGACGAACGCCATTTTCTCGGGACTCGCGTCCCGAGATAACAGCAGAAAAGCAAAGGGAAAATAATTAGCGTAGCTGCTGTTCATAATGATGATTTCCATAACACAGGTGTAAAAGACAAAACATGAAGACAGTGACTCTTGCGTCCCAAAATCACCCCCCTCCGTCCCCCACTCAACTCAGCCCAGCTTACTGACCTCTACATCCCTCCTGCTGCTGAGACCTAACCACAATCTCACAATCTCTCCGCAACCCAACCATACGCGCCAACCCGTTGACTAAGGCTGTCGAGCCCCACTGGTGCGTGAATAGGCAGTTTCAGTGGACAACGGTTCCGTATGGCATACTACCTACCGCAACACAATATCTGTCCAACCACCCGTCATTCACGCAATATACACAGGAACGTAATAACTGCAAATACTATGCAACCTATACAGATAACCTACAGTCTCTTCAAGTTTTATAGTATTAAATGCATTTGATCTGATTCAGCAGTATAATAAAAGGTAAGCATTATGTAAATGCTTGGCTAAAAAGATGCGTCTTTAATCTAGTTTTAAACTGGGACAGCGAGTCTGAGCCTCGAACAATATCAGGAAGGCTATTCCAGAGTTTAGGAGCTAAGTGTGAGAACGCCCTCCCTCCTTTAGTGGACTTAGATATCCTAGGAATGACTAGAAGCCTCGAATTTAGTGATCTTAAAGAACGCGATGGATTGTAGGGCGATAGAAGGTCCATTAAATACACAGGAGCTAAACCATTTAGGGCTTTATAGGTCAGTAATAGTACTTTGTAATTGATACGGAACTTGATAGGTAACCAGTGCAGAGATGATAGAATCGGTGTTATATGATCATATTTTCTTGACCTAGTAAGAACTCTAGCGGCTGCATTTTGCACTAACTGTAGCTTGTTTATTGAGGATGCAGGACAACCGGCTAATAAAGCATTACAGTAATCTAGTCTCGAGGTCATGAATGCATGAACTAACTTTTCTGAATCGGAAACAGATAGCATGTTACGTAATTTAGCAATGTTTCTAAGATGGAAAAAGGCCGTTCTTGTAACATATGTAATATGATTTTCGAAAGACAAGTTGTGGTCTAGTATAACTCCCAGGTCTTTTACCGTAGAGGATAAAGTAACAGGACATCCTTCTATATTAAAGTTGTATTGTAAGTGGTTTTGTGGATAGTTTTTTGGACCAACAAGTAATACCTCGGTTTTATCTGGATTTAGTAGCAGGAAATTATGCGTCATCCAGCATTTTATATCTTTAAGACACTCTGTCAATTTTGATGAGTTAGTGTTTTCATCTGGCCGTGATGAAATATATAATTGAGTGTCATCAGCATAACAGTGGAAATTAATTCCATGTTTTCTTATAATATTACCAAGTGGCAGCATATATATTGAGAATAGCAGAGGGCCTAACACCGATCCTTGCGGGACTCCATAGTCTACTGAAGTTATCTTCGATTTTTCCCCATTTAAACAAACAAAATGGTAACGGTCTGATAAATACGATCTGAACCAGCTTAATGCCTGTCCCTGAACACCAGTGTAGTTTTGTAGTCGATCCAAGAGTATTTTATGATCGATAGTGTCAAACGCAGCACTAAGATCGAGTAGAACTAGTATTGAGATACAGCCTTGGTCAGAAGCTAAAAGTAAATCATTTGTAATTTTAACTAGCGCAGTTTCTGTGCTATGATGCGGTCTGAATCCTGACTGAAATTTTTCATATATCTCATTTTCTTGCATGAAAGAGCACAATTGAGCGGACACAGTCTTTTCTAGTATTTTAGACATAAATGGAAGATTTGAAATCGGTCTGTAATTTGCTAAGTTATTTGGATCTAATTGCGGTTTCTTAATGAGAGGTTTTATTACTGCCAGCTTGAATATTTTTGGAACATGACCTAAAGATAAAGACGAGTTAATAATATTAAGAAGAGGCTCTTCCACTACAGGTAACACTTCTTTCAGAAATTTAGTTGGTATTGGATCTAATAAACATGTTGTTGGTTTAGATGCAATGATAAGTTTATTTAGCTCTTCCTGTCCTATAGTTGTAAAGCGGTGTAGTTGTTCTTGAGGGGCGATAATTGAGGCTGAATCATAAGACACCATAGAGGATTGTACATTTACAATTGTGTTTCGGATGCTTTTTATTTTCTCATTGAAGTAGTTCATAAAATCATTACAGCTATACTGTAACGGAATAATTTGCTCGAGCAGTCGGTGTTTGTGTTTGAAAACTCCGTCGAATCAATTCATTAATCCTTGATTTTCTTTTTTACCACTCATTTATAAACAAGCACTTTCTATTTTTATATCATGGGAACTTATCCTCGATACTATTCCTTATAAAAAACAATCGGATTGCTTTGATATCGCTACTTAGACCCAACTTTGCGAATCTCGGCTACTAGCCTTTAGTCCGCTAGCATTTCACGCGTGGCCTCGCGCCTATTGACCGTCTGATTTTACACCCGTTTCACTGAAAGGATACAGGTTATATCCAGCATTTCAGTCCTAAATTACTAGTGATATTGGTAGTTTCACTACTAATCTACTGTTGTTCATCTGTTATGGCGAACATATCAGATGTGTGTCTAACGTTACCTCTGAGTGCAGGTGAGGACACATTCGAACTCATTTCGGTACGTTTGGAGCTTGAATCGGTGGAGAAACAGATCCGTGGTCTGCTAGAGAGGCAAGCCGAGCTGCGGGATCGGCGATCAGCGCTTGAAACGTCACGCGCCGATGCACACAAGTCAGTTGTTAGTAACTTTTTGACTCCGACTTCGTCCACTCCGTGCGTTTCTCTGCCCAGGAGGACGCGATCATCTCTGGCATCATTCACTCCGGCACCAACCCAACACCATGGACCCTGGGTGATCCCACAGCGGAAGACACGAGCCAGGACCAGAGCAAGAACCTCTCCGCCCCTCCCGGTCTTCGAGATCTCCACCCGGAACCGCTTCTCCCCTCTTCGCGAGTCGGAACGCGACGACGCCGTGATCATCGGCACTTCCATGGTCCGTCATGTCCGTGCTACCTCAGGTAAGGGTAAGGTGCGCACTCACTGCCTTCCTGGTGCTCGTGTTCTTGATGTCGCCGCACAGGTTCCCCAGATCCTGAACGGTGAAGAGCGCGTCGGAGCTGTGGTGCTTCACGCTGGAACAAACGATATCAGGCTACGGCAGACGGAGGTTCTGAAGAAGGACTACAGGAGCCTGATCGAGGCGGTACGCAGCACAGCGCCTGAGGCAACGATCATCGTGTCTGGACCGCTTCCCACGTACCGACAAGGACAGGAAAGGTTCAGTAGATTATTTGCACTAAATGAATGGTTAATGTCATTGTGTAATGAACAAAAACTGCTCTTTGTAAATAATTGGAATCTGTTCTGGGAGCGACCTAGGCTCTACCGTGCTGATGGCCTGCACCCCAGCAGAATCGGAGCGGCTGTTCTGTCGGACAACATCTCCAAGACGTTACACACCGTATGACTAGAAAATCAAATTCCAAATCACAGTCTTTGCTGTGCCAATTTAATTGATATAAGTAGTGTAGAACATTATATAGAAACTGTGTCTATTCCTCGTTTAGTGAGGCCAAATAATAAATCCACTGTAGGATCTAGGAAAAATCTTATTGTAATTAAACCTGAAAATCTAAATATCAGTGAACAAAAACAATTTCTAAAACTAGGTCTTCTAAACATTAGATCGCTCACACCTAAGGCGGTTATTGTAAATGAAATGGTCACAGATAATAGCTTCGATGTACTTTGCCTTACTGAAACCTGGCTTAAACCAAACGAGTATTTCGGTCTAAATGAGTCTACCCCGCCAGGATACTGTTATAAGCATGAGCCCCGTCTGATCGGTCGTGGCGGCGGTGTTGCAACAATCTATAGAGATATTCTTAATGTAACTCAGAAAACAGGTCACAGGTTTAATTCGTTTGAAGTACTGGTGCTAAACGTTGCGCTCTTAGATGTAAGAAATAAATCCCTATTATCTCTAGCCTTGGCTACTGTATATAGACCTCCAGGGCCATATGCTGATTTCCTAAAAGAGTTTGCAGACTTTCTCTCAGATCTATTGGTCAATGCCGATAAAGCAATAATTGTTGGAGATTTTAACATACACGTAGATAACACAAACGATGCGTTAGGGACTGCGTTTACAGATTTATTAAACTCCTTTGGGGTCAAGCAGAATGTCAGTGGTCCCACTCATCGTCTAAATCATACACTAGATTTAATTATATCATACGGAACCAATCCAACCGATATAGATATTATACCGCAAAGTGACGATCTCACCGATCATCACATGGTAACTTGTATAATACGCACTGCTGAAATTTGTCATGTTGCGCCACGTTATCGACCAGGCAGAACAATCCTTCCGACCACTATAGATAGATTCTCAAATAGCTTACCTGATCTATCTCAGCTGCTCAGTGAACCCAAACAAACAGATGAACTAGAGGAAATGACTAGCAGTTTGAGCACCATTTTCTCTAGTACATTAGATATTGTTGCACCAATTAGATCAAAAAAGGTTAGAGAGAAAACTAAAGCACCATGGTACAACAGTGCTACGCATGCTATCAAGAGAGAAACTCGTAACCTAGAGCGTAAATGGAAACAAACTAATTTAGAGGTCTTTAGAATCGCGTGGAAAGACAGTATGTCACGTTATAAAAAAGCTCTAAAAGCAGCCAGGGCTGAGCATCTCCGCAAACTAATAGAAAATCACCAAAATAATCCAAGGTTTTTATTTAACACCGTGGCTAGACTAACAAATAAACAGACATCACCCGAGCAAAATTATGACTTAACTAATTATGACTTAACTGTTTTCAAAGGAGCAAGCGCTACAAAGCAGTGCGGGGGGACTTGCCAGACCCAGATGTCCTGAAGGTCGACGAGGCATACCAGGACTTCACGGCAGACCTTGCTCCGCTAATTACCACACTCTCCATAAGTAGTGATGTTCCCCTCGTCGATTCAGCCTTTGGGACGGTTCAAGAAGGCAGCCCTCTTTCATACCAGCACCTAAACGTAATGTCGCTTAACATCACTTTCGACATGGCAAGATCCATCCAGATGTCCACGAGGGAACAGAGTGGCAGCGCAGAGTGGTACAGCCTGAGGAAGATGAGGCTCACCTCCTCCAGATTCCAGGAGGTGTGTCATGTCCGAGGTCACAGCTCTGCAGAGAACCTTGCAGAACGCATCCGCAAAGGTGGGGTTCAGATAGCCTTGATGAAGAGGGGACTAGCACTGGAGCCAGTAGCTATTCAGGAATATTCCCACATTAAAAATGTGACCGATCACGGAAACTAGGGACACAAGTCGGCTCTTCGGCATTTTGAGTTATTCATAGATTCTGAAAGTGTAGTCTCCAAGCTTTCCAACGATGTGTAACACGTGGAAATCTGATAATATTTGGAGAAGTTGTGGCCATTTGAAGGTAGGAACTCAAAAAAGCTAAAATGGGAGAAAACGGCCTCAAAAGATTGTGCATTCTCACCTCTCTCTCCTGCTGGGAGTGACAATAGGGCTCATTTACATCTCATTTAGATAAGCCATACCCCCTGTAAAGCTCCCCCTGTGCTTTACAGCTTTTTTTTCTTTCCTGAGCTAGCTAATAACAATAGGTAGGTATGGGAAGGTCTAAACAGACTAAACATGAGATAACATGTACGTGTTCTTAGAATTAAAACAAAACGACAAACTTTAATGTTTAATGCAAACTCACCCCCAGGACCGGCGAATGCACTTCTGCCGCTCTAGGCGAAAAACAATTGTGCTGCCCCTCTATTTGCAACGTTTACCAGCAACAACACACAAAGACCAATATGCCATATACATATAACGCAAAACGTACTCGGTTACTAACGTAACCTCGGTTCTCTCTAGAGAGGGAACGAGTACTGCGTAATAGCTTACGCTAGGGGAAAAACTCTTTTCCACGAGATATTGAAGCCAAAAATTATCCTTAATTTTTTATTAATGTAAAACGCTTTGCAGCAGCAAGCAGACATAGGCGAAACAGCTCGCGCGCCTATTGGTTGCTCTGCAGCAAATGCAGCAGCCTATTGAGAGAGACTCTGCGTGACGTAATGACCAATGGGGGCAATTCGCGCCCATATCGTCACGTCCCGCCAGAAGGGGCGTGGTCTCACCCTATAAATATGCTCGTTAGGCTGGTACAAGCTGGTTTTTATCGCTGAAGCGAACCAGAGCGTATTCCAAGCACGGCAAGATACGCAGTACTCGTTCCCTCTCTAGAGAGAACCGAGGTTACGTTAGTAACCGAGTATGTTCTCTTACGAGAGTATCTCTCGTACTGCGTAATAGCTTACGCTAGGGGAACACAATGCAACACGCCGTGCGTACAGGGATCCAACACCAAAGTCCCGGGGGCCGAAGCCCAGGGCTCATGTAGTGCATAATCACCATAAACTCACATAGAGTGGAGGAAGAGAGGCTGGAAGCGTCATTCCCTATAAAAAAGCACCCAGCGGGGCTATCATATGACAATAAAACGCGCAGCCAGGGTGAAAGCTTTCAGCCTGATCTGGGTGGCCATACGTGTGTCAACACTCATGGGGCTGCAGTAAACTCAGCATCTGGGCCGCACAGCGGGGCAGATAGCACTGAATTTTAGACCGCCAAAAGCTTAGCTTGTAAGGCGGGTACCTCCAGGTTAGAGTATTTTATAAATGTAGACGGCGAGGCCCAGCCCGCGGCCGTACAGATATCTTGCAGGGAAACCCCGCTAGACCACGCCCACGAAGAGGCCACGCCTCTCGTGGAGTGCGCTCTGACACCCAAGGGGCACTGTAGGCCCTTCGCAGAGTAAGCGAGCGCAATGGCATCCACTATCCATCTGGATAGGCTCTGTTTTGAGGCGGCGAGTCCCTTGGAACGCCCGCCAAACAAAACAAAAAGCTGCTCCGTCTGTCTGAAAACAGACGAGCGTGACACATAAGCTCTCAATGCCCTGACGGGGCAAAGGAGACTCGCATCCTCCTCCTCACTGAGAACCGGAAGGGCGGACAGGGAAATTACCTGGGCCCTGAACGGTGTATTGAGGGATTTCGGGACATACCCGTGCTTTGGTTTGAGAATGACCTTCGAGTCATTAGGCCCAAACTCCATACACGACGCGCTTACTGAAAGCGCCTGTAAGTCCCCTATGCGCTTCACTGAAGCGAGAGCCATGAGAAACACTGTTTTGAACGACAGGTGTTTCATGTCCACCAGCTGGATTGGCTCGAACGGGGCGCCTTTCATGGCCTCCAGGACCGTGGAAAGGTCCCACGTCGGGACTGAAGGGGGCCTGGGAGGGTTCAGCCTCCGAGCTCCCCTAAGGAAACGCACGACTAAGTCGTTTTTCCCCAGCGACTGGCCAGACACCGGTTTTGCAAACGTTGCTATGGCCGCCACATATACTTTGAGCGTGGATGGGGTCCTGCCCTTATCCAGTAGCTCTTGAAGGAAGGAAAGCACTTCCGAAACCCCGCATTCCACAGGTGAAAAGCTCTGGGCTTGACACCATGCAGAGAAAACAGACCATTTCGAGGAGTAGAGCCGCCTGGTAGACGGAGCTCTAGCCTGCGCGATCGTGTTTAACACTCCTTCTGGGAGGCTAGCGGGTACCCGTTGATGGCCCATGCGTGCAGGGACCACAACTCCGGGCGAGGGTGCCAAATCGAGCCCTCCGCCTGAGAGAGGAGGTCTCTCCTCAATGGTACAGGCCATGGGGCAGTGCTGGTCAGCTGCATCAGGGCAGGGAACCACGTCTGGTTTGTCCAGAGCGGAGCTACGAGCAGCACTGGGCATCCGTTCTCCCTGATTCGTTCCAACACCTGAGGCAGGAGCGAGACAGGAGGAAAAGCATATAGGGGGCAGCGGGGCCAAACATGAGCCAGCGCGTCCTTGCTTTTCGAGAAAAACTCCGGGCAATGAGCGTTTTCGTGGGACGCGAATAGGTCCACCTGTGCTCTGCCGAACGTTTTCCACAGCAGCTGGACCGTCTGCGGGTGCAGCGACCATTCCCCTGCTGGAACATTGTTCCTGGACAGTCTGTCTGGTCCCACATTCAGGTGACCAGGCACGTGCGCTGCTCTCAGTGAGAGCAGGTTGTGCTGAGCACAGACCAGGAGGCGTTCCGTCAGCCTGTGAAGGTTTCGTGACCTGACGCCGCCCTGGCGATTTATGTATGCCACCACTGACATGTTGTCCGACCGGACCAAGACGTGGTGGCCTGTTACCTGGGGACAAAAACGCCGTAGCGCTTTAGCGACTGCTATCATCTCCAAGCAGTTTATGTGAAGGAGCTTTTCCCGTTCTGACCACAGGCCAGCTAGCGGTCTGCCCTCGAGCAGCGCTCCCCACCCCGAGGTGGAGGCGTCCGTAGACACCACCTTCACACTCGAAGCGGTCCCCAGACTCACACCTGACTGATACCAGTCGGTTATTTTCCAAGGTTCCAGAGCTGAAACACACTGAAGGTCGACCCTGAGGCGAAACAGACCCGCTGTCCATGCCCTGGGTGGAACCCGCGCTTTCAGCCACATCTGCAGTGGGCGCATGCGGAGCAAGCCCAACTGGAGTACAGAGGCTGCTGAGGCCATCAGCCCCAGCATTTTCTGAAACCTTTTGAGCGGAACTATCGCGCCGTGGCGGAAGGATTTCGCGCCGCGCTGAATATTTAGCCTGCGCTCTGGTGACAGGCGTGCTGTCATGGACAGCGAGTCCAACACGGTTCCCAGAAAGGAAATTTTCTGACTGGGAGACAGTGAGCTCTTCGCCCAATTGACTGTGAGGCCCAGCTCCTCGAGGTGCTCGAGTAATGCGGCCCTGTGTTCTATGAGCTCCGATCGTGATCGAGCTAGAATCAGCCAATCGTCCAAGTAGTTCAGGACTCGCATGCCCTGAAGTCTCAGGGGTGCGAGCGCCGCGTCCATGCACTTCGTAAATGTACCAGGTGCTAGGGACAGGCCGAACGGCAGGACTGTGTATTGATATGCCTGGCCCTCGAAAGCGAATCTCAAGAATCGCCTGTGATGGGACGCCATTTGTATTTGGAAATAGGCGTCTTTCAGATCTATTGACATAAACCAGTCCCCGTGGCGCACTTGCGCGAGGATTTTCCTGGTCATAAGCATTCTGAACTGGCGCTTCACAAGCGCTCTGTTCAGCTGTCGCAGATCTAAAATGGGTCTGAGACCTCCATCTTTTTTCGGTACCAGAAAATATCTGCTGTGTAGGCCCCCTTTGCTCTGAGCTTGAGATAAAGGTTCTATAGCACCTTTGCTCAGTAGTTTCGCTATCTCGGCTCGAAGTAGATGATACTTCGTTTTCCACCGTCGTCTCGACGCGCGCCGTATAACGGCGGGGACGTCGAGCGAACTGTAGCGAATAGCCTCTATTTATAGTGTTCAGCACCAATTCTGATACCCCAGGAAGCTGTGCCCACACTTTCGCGTGAATAGCTAGGGGTAGAATGAGATCTGGGCTCTGGCCGAGACATAGTGACGGCAAGAGAGCTCCGGCGTGCTGTAACGCAGACACTGTGTTTACAGTGTGTGAGGCGGGGGGCGCGCCGATCGCGGCGGGCAGCCTGGCCGCGCTCAAAACCCTTATAGCAGTTTGCTGAGGGAGAGAGAGCGGGGCGAGCCCCGTGGGGCTTAACATGTCTGTGAGTGAATGTGGGCGCAGGACAGCGGGCACATTTACTGCACTGAAAAACACCGTCGGCCTGAGCTGACTGAATGCGTGTTGGTTTCGTTTTCACAGAACCCGTGGGACATGTGGTGTGTAGTGTTTGTGGGCACTGAGACGTAGGCACATTCACTACATTTAGTGCACAATCGACATGAGGCGATTTTGTTTGTGCGAGCCCTGCATTTTTGCGGGCTGTGTTTGTGTGTAGAAATGAGCCCTGGGTTGTAGGCATTTTCAACACACTCATAACACCATCGGCTGTGGCCGGAATACCAGAAAATACACAATTTATGTGATTTATCTGGGTCGCCG